AAAGTATGTTGAATAAGAAATATTGATTTTGAAGTCATGAGGTAAGAATAGCAGCCAACAAATCCAAAGAAAATCCACAAAATTAACCTTTCAACCTATAAAGGCAAATGCCCAAATTTCTTTCATTTATGGGCTATTTAGTTAGATGTATTATGAGCATACAACAAAGGGGTTTTGAGATAATTGATATTTGGTTGTAAGCCTAAGCCTATGTTGACCTAAATTGAGCCCATTTGATCAATCATTAAGCTATGACCAAGTTGACGACGAAGAGCTTATGTGTGAAACCCCTTAAGTAAAAGGAGGTAAACTCTTAAACATCAAGGCATTTTTTGGTGTAATTGTTGAAATTTCCTTAGAAAACTCCGTAGTTAATCGTGCTCATCGTAGAACAATTTTGAAATAAATGACATACTGATAAGTTACACCAACAAGGCAAAACTGTGAGGCACTTAGTCCAAAACGGAAAATATCTCGATAGTTAAGAGTTAAAACTGTTTCTTTATGACACAAAGTTATAAGGCTGTTTTGGTTAGCATCAAGAATGGGGGGTTTGCATATATACCACATAATTATTATATATTTAAATATCTGACATCTAAATTTTAATATTTACTTATATAACATTCATTTTTTTTAAATTACATAAAAAATAATACTAATATTATTTAAATAAACTATGCATCCTTTAGTCTATATTTTCATCTTAGTAAGATACTGAAATATCACATAAATAAATTATATTAAAGTTAAAAATTGTGTTATAAGTTTATGTAAATATCCTAAAAAACTTATGGATAGAGACAAAGCTTAGTGCTTGAGAGTCTTTCTCTAAACTTAGTTCTAACTCTCTAACTTGTATTTTCTTAAAATTATGATTAAGCTCACTTAAAGATCACAAAAATATTTGTAAAAAAATATGTATATATATATATAGAATAAGTTTGGTGAGAAAATGAAAGAGATGGTGACACAGGGAAGGGAAAGATGATGAGGGGAAGGTTAGGGTTGGTAAGAAATATCTAATTAAGGCTTTATTTAGGACGGCTTTCTTACTGCTTCTTAAGTTTTTATACTAAAAAATTGCTTTAAGCAGTAGTAAGAATGTTGTCCCTAATAAAGCCCAAGTGTAACATTAAAGTTATCAAGAAAGTATCCAAAGATAGCCAAATTTGATTTGAACCATTGAGAATGAAAGAAAGCTTTATCAAAATAAAAGATTTATCAAAGAAAAAAGTAAGAACAAGTGATGAAATGTTTACTTGATTTAGCCCCAAATTTGATTTGAACCATTGAGAATGAAAGAAAGCTTCATTATCAGTCATTAATCCAAAATATGTAGAGGAAATATTTGTCAAGAACAGTTAAGGCAAATGACTTGATTGTTCATGTGCAGGACCAAGAACAAATATATGATAAAAAAGAAAAATATGTTCATTACTATTGATTCAAGCCCTAAAGAGCTTCTAGGAAGTAATAACCCTCTGATCTTGTTCAGCTTACTTTATTGTAAAGTGTTAAAAATGCTCATAGTTTGTGAACAGCTTGTGTTTGACTTGTCATGTAGTTTATATTTGATTTGTTCGTTAAGTAAATGAGCCAAATACGAATAAGGTTCATTTTTTAAGAAAGCCTACATGGGGTCTTGGTTCGGTACCCAATGGGTACCCACGTTTTATGAGAGCGGGCTTCGCCCACCCATGGTGACTTTTGGGATTTCGTACCCACCCATATCAAGCCACATTCCACATTTTTTGAACACAATCTGTTACAGACTAATGGCATTGAGGTTTGTTGCCTCATGCTCTAACTGCAAACTTTCAAGACATCAAAAAATTCAACAGTCGCTGCACGGTTCAGAGTTGCACATTTCATAGTGAGGATTGCAGTAATATATGACATACAATGATTAGCAATGTAAATTAGTTTGTTTCGTGTGATACCAAGCAACAACTTGCAAAACTCACTTGCCTAGGCAATACTCAAAAAGACAATGGAATAGTAAAACTGGTTTTCTTCTATTTTGTTATGTACTGATGCTGGTTTATAAATCATACTATAGTTCTATAACATTAATATAATTAGTCCTATTACTTAAGGTAAAATAGTATATAAAAAGCTAATAATGAAAAACAAGTAGCTAAGTAGTAATAACGATCTGATTGGGACAGGTCGTTAGTGGCATGTGCTAGAAGGTAAATTGTCTTCCCATCTTAAGCACTAGCTGTGCTCCGCATCATTATCCCTCGATGTTGAGTATCCACACATACCCATCCACGAGTCCATGGGCATACCCACGGTACACGAGTTGATGTAGGTATGAGTACCCAATGCATGGCTATTTTTTTTAACTTAGGGTTCACGCCAATATCGTACCTATGACTGTTGGTATTGGAGGAGGCAATGCATTCATAAATATTCAATTAAAAAAATACAGAAACTTTATGTTTAGTTAATGGGTTCTGTTTTCTGATTTAGATCACAATCATAATTTTTTGATAATTCTGACATTATGATGTAAGGGGTATTACTTAAATTATAATGAACATATTTTTTCAAAAACTATATATGGTGAAAATACTTGTCGTATTACTTAAATTATGAGGTATATAAATTAAAATTTTTATTTATAATATAATCCAAATTTTTTATCATGAACAAATGTTTTTAATTACTATAAAACATACGTACGCGTTTTTTAGAGCTCGTCTAAAGAAAAGCATAGAAATCTGTGCAAAATTTATTCATAATACTATTAATACATTTTAAAAACCTTCCATTTATTTAAATAATTAGTTTAGTAATTTATATTTTTTAAAATGAAATGAAAATATTTTAAGTATTATCTTTATCAAATTTAATACAGATAATTCTTTTTTTTTCTTTATGAAATTTTAACTTAATTTGTGACGGCTTTATTACTACATCTTAAAACTTTTTTATTATAAAATTTTAAATTTATGTATTAAAACAATTTGTTTAAAAAGCATTAAAAGTCCTCACAAGTAGACCTGTCAATTTTGGGTCACGGGTCGGGTTCGGGTCGAAACCGAAACTGACCCGACACTATTCGGGTTCGGGTCGACCCGACCTCGATTTTTTGGACCCGAACCCGATCCTCTTCGGGTTTGGGTCAACCCAACCCGACCCGCGAATACAATAGTGCTTGCAGCGGGCAGGCGGGCACTGGGGTAGCCGAGCGGGGGAGCTGGGGAAGCGGGTCAGGCGGGCATAGCCGGTCAGAGCTTTATTCCGGGTCATTTTCGGGTTCCTGGGTCAACCCGAATCCGACCCGATTTTTTTAAACATGTCAATTTTTCGGACCCGAATCGGGTTCGGGTCAATCCAAATCCGAAATTTTTGGGTCGGGTCCAACATTGACAGCTAAGATCCATTTAATTTCAAGAGAGCCCTTTGATCATAGTCAAACGCTCTCTTATAAGTTGGACGGCAAAAAAAAGATTTATTATGATAAAAATTTATTTATTTTAATGCTTGTTCTATTTTAAAAAAAAATTGGAAAATATCTTTTTTTTTTTTTATAATTATCGCATTCCTATAAATCTGTTTAAAAAAATAATAAAAAATGATAGCCAAATAAAAATATAGAAGTTATCTAAAAAGCCAAAAAAACTTTCCCAAACGAACCAAGGCTGAAAAAACATAGAGCGCTGATCGTGCTTAGCGACTCTCTCTCCTCTTACGGTCAATTCGAATTCCAACGTATTTATAGCTAGCAATTAATAAAATAAATATATTAAATTAAAAAATATTTCCATATTATTTAAAATTTTAATATAAATCTGTATTCTCAAAAATAATTTTATACAATTTTAAATTTGACTTTATATGTAAAATAATGTTTAAAAATTAGATAAATAGGCGGACTATTTTATTTTATTCTATTAATAAAATATGTAAAAAAGTTCCATTCCTAAAATAACCCTACTTTTGACTGCGGAGTTTATTTGAGGTTAAATAGTAATTAGAACAAAGTCGAGAATTACAAAGCATAAATATGACACAATTTTCCTATGTAAAGCCCCAATAAATTGTGAAAAGTTCAATGAACTAAAGTTAGAGAAGAAAATTATTTTCTTAATACAAAAATTATGACTTATTGATTAAAGAATTCTTTTTAATATCAAATATTTGAAGCACATATTTTACTATTTCTTATTTATTATTAAAAATTTATTTAACATGAGGATTTAGATACATATTTAAAATGAGAATTTACATATATAACACTCAAAATCTTCTAATTTATATATTTAACATCCAAACTTCATTGTTTACCTAATCTATCACCTTCTTTACCGCATTAGCAATTCCTCACAAGCTCCATCAAAACATTATTTTCTGCTTTTATAATGTTATTTTAGGCTTCGTTTGGGACGACTTTCGTCCTGCTTCTTAAAGTAGCTTTCAAGTACAAAAATTAAAAATTTTGTACTAGAAAGCTGCTTTAAGAATCAGTAAGAAAGCAGTCCCAAACGAAGCCTTAGTGAGCTTTGTCGTCATTTCTTATGGCTGATTGCAATGTCTTACTCTAAAACGTTTTAAGCTTCGTTTGGGACAACTTTCGCACTGTTTCTTAAAATAATTTTTTAGTATAAAATTTGTAATGTTCATACTAAAAAACTGTTTTAAGAAGTAATAAAAAAGTTGTCCCAAACAAAATCTTAATGTGACTTTCGTCCCTATGTTAGTGATGTGGATCATCCATTTTAGCAAATTCTAGGCAAACTTACACAGACACGGTGCGACGAAAGCAGCAAGATCAACAATTTGTGAAGGTAGCAAAGTAAATAGGAACAATAATGTGTGGGTATGTGAGATTGTGTCTAAACGATATTTGGAGGTTAATAATATTTTTGTTGAAATTTAAAATTTTAATTATTATATGAGTAAATTTTAGAGGTTGAATATATGAATAAATTTTTTTTTTTTGAATTTTATTTGTATAGATATCCCCCTTTATAATTTATTGCTCATTCAAAAGGAAAAGAAAAGAACAATTGGCTATGAATGCTCGATTTTCAACTTTTTTTAATCACCGATATTATTTCTCTCTCTTTCCACCTCTTAAAATCCCATGCTTTCCCCATTTCCTTGTCGATTGATTTCCCCTCTTACGAGATGTTTACTTCTTCTTCGTTCGATCGGCTTTGAATTGTATCGTTTACTTGTGGGATTCGATTTCCTGTGATTGAATCTAGTTCATAGCTTCGATTTTTCTCCCCTATATACTTTTGAAATCAGATCTTGCGGTGACTACAGATCTCTTCGCCGAGTAAAGTTCCTACAGTTTTTTCGAATCCGTTGAGAAAAAACCTCGATTCTCTCGGTTCTTTGATCCTATATTTATTATTATTTTTTGGTGATTCTTGGCCGTTTTCGCGATCTATTTTCTTTTTAGAAGTTCAGCTCCTTGCTGCGATTCTCTGCTGAATCGCCGCAGAAAATGGCTCAGGAAAGTTGCAACCTAGACAAAGAAGAAGCTGAAGTTCTCAAACCCCCTTCTTCTCCTCATCCTCCTCCTCCTCCTCCTTCCTCTTCTCCTCCTCCTGCTCCCTCCTCTCCTCCCTCTCTTTCACCTCCTCCTCTTTTCCTAAACCAGCCGAAAACAACCACAGCTCAACAACTAGACATACTGTCCTCCAAGCTTGTCGGCGAATCTCAACCTTCCATTCGCCTGGTCAACCGATGCTCTTCCTGCTGTAAAAAAGTCGGCCTCACCGGATTCCGGTGCCGCTGCGGCGAGCTCTTTTGCTCCCGCCATCGGTACTCCGAAACACACGACTGCTCCTTCGACTACAAAGCTGCCGGCAGGGAGGAGATCTCCAAGGCCAACCCGGTCGTCAGAGCCGCTAAAATCATCAAGATCTAAGGTCTAGATTCACTATTCACTTCCTTTTTTTCCATTCTCAGTTATGTTTCAGATCTTTCTTATCAATTTGGCTTTTGGATTTCCTTCTGCAAATCTAAATCCTTGAACTGTGCTACAAATTTGTTACATGATTTGTTGTGTAATTTTTTCTTGTTAGAATTGGAGGTTTTCTACTGTGTTGATCTTTGTGGTTGTAGGTGTTATTCTGTTTGAGTTATGAGACTTGATTGAAAAGGGATCTACCAGGCTGTTGTTCAGCTTTCCCTGTGAGGTTCTAAAAGCTTGCTTTAGTTTTTTTTTGTAGGGTCCCTTTCTCTGCCTACTTTTTTATTTTTCTTAAAAATTAGTTAAATAATATATTTATTTCATTTTGAAATTTTTTAAAAGAAAGGGTATTTTGGTAATTAACTTGGCAAAAAAAGGATTATATATATATATAATTTTATTTTTGATACTATAATTTATAATTCTTATTCTAGATTTGTTTTGAATTTTAATTGCATTTAAATTTTAAAAAAATGAAAACAGTTATTTATTAAATAATTTTTATTGTATTATTTATAAATTATTTTGCATTATATATACTAAATTTATTACTGTAATTCCTAAATTATTCATGTAGTTAGGCTTAATATTTTTTTTTATATAATTTTCTAAGTTATGACAAAATATTCTTTGTTTTAATGATTAATGGCATAAAAATTAAACCAAAGTAAGATATTTGATATTCTGCCTAAGGAATAAATGACAAGTTGCCCTCTTTTCTCTCTTGTTAGGTACTTTGCTTTAGTTGTTTGGGGCTTTGGATTCCTTTTTCTCTCGTGATATAGGTGCTAATGCAACATGCTCACCACTAAGAAAAAAACGTAAAATGTACTGTATATTCTAAATAATATAATGTTTAGTTGTGTACACATGATTTTCTTGTTTATAATAGTTTTTATTTTTATTGTCTTCAATCATTTAATGATGATTTTTTTTTAAATGTAATTGATTTATTCTTCTTCATTTCAACATCTCTTTAATAAAGGAAATGAAAACAAAATAAAATAAAATTGGTAAAGGAATTTGATGTCAATTCCATTTCACTCATTTGTATTAGGGTCAACGTGTTTGTAAAATTTGTTAGGTTCAGGTTCAACAAATCGACTTGTTTCAAAAAGCGGGTCGGATTCAAGTTGACCCAGAAACTCGAGAATATTTAACCCGGAATGACTGCGTGTAACCGTGCCAGCCCACCGCTGCCATGGAAGATTTATGGGATTTGGCTGAATAAGTGCACAAACAGAGGCCAGCCTGTCGTTGCCGTGGAAGATTTACGGGATTTGGATGAATAAGTGTGTGAACAGAGGCTAGCCTGCGACATATTTAAGGGTCGGGTTGTCTGGAACAAGAAGCATGTCGGGTTTGGGTATGAAAAAGCAGCGTGTTTTCAAAAACGAGTCGGGTCAAAAAGTGTCGCATCAATATCGGTTTGGACCCGAACCCAACCCGTGACTCAATTTTGACAGCCCTAGATAAGGGGAGACATACAAATCACAATAATTTTTTTCTCTATTTTGTTTATTTTTTGGTCAGAATTTCAATTCCTAGCCACATAGATTGGTTGGTACTTCCTTCTCCTTTCTTGTGATTCTGCCATTGGAACTTTTCTTATTATTAAATCAAGATTGTATTAATTTACATTATTTTTTTATTTAAGAATTTATATTAATACACCCTTTTTTTTTAAATTAATTGACAGGCAGCTGCTTGGCCTTATTCACTCATCTCTATGGACGCAAAAGCAGAGAAATCAGAGGACATTGGAGAAGGATTAGTTTCTTGATAACTCCAAAAATGGTGATTATTTTTTAAGCTCTCGTTGTTATTATCTATTTGAATCAGTCCAAGTTGGAGACTATTATGAATTCAATTTGTTGTCCGTTGGTCCCACTTCATGTGCTCTGATCATCGATCTGGACCGTCCATTACTGCCTGTGATGGTGAAAGGGGCAATTGATCTGTTCTTTCTTATTGGACCTTCTTGTTCTTTAATCAAATCAAGTAGCCTAACCTCTCTCTATCTTTCTGAAAAGAAATAAAATTTGATCAGAAGTCTTCATAGAAATCTCATTAGAAGTCTTAGGCTTCGTTTGAGATAATTTTTTTATTGCTTTTTAAAGTAAATTTTTAGTTCAAAAATTAAAAAATTTTGTACTAAAAAATATTTTTAGAAAGCAATAAAAAATTGTTCCTAATGAAGCCTTAAGCTTGGTTTAGAATAACTTTCTTACTGCTTCTTAAGATAATTTTTTAATACAAAAATAAAAAATTTTATATTAAAAAATTATTTTAAGAAGCTGTAGAAAAGTCAGTCCCAAATAAAGCCTTAAACTCTAGTCATTCGTCATTATTTTTATTTAATTTATGTTTATTATATATGCTAAAATTAAAATTTCATTGGCAAAAATATTTAAAATGTTAGAAATATTTATATTGAAAAAATTCAGCTGAAAGTTGAATCAATTGATTATGTAATTTATTTTTATTAATTTTACGTATCATCATTTTTAAATGTTAAGTTTTTTTTTTCAAAAAAAAAAAAAAAAAGCTTTACATAACATATTTTAAAAATTATTCTGAAAATTGGTCATCTCTAACTAAAAATTTCCCATTTGTCCTTCTTTCTCTGGCTCTATCTCTCTCCTCTCCATATGTCTCTAATATTTATTTATCTTTCGGCGTGCTGTTCTGAGTCTTCTGACCTTTTTATTGTGTTTTTAAATTCACAATCGGTCGTGGTGCATTTTTTTTCTAAGAAAATGATTTTAATTAAAATAATATAAATTATTGAATTAATAATTGTATTAAAAAGTATGAATAATATAACGAATTTTCATGCATATTCAGAAGTTTTATGTAATTATAAATTAATATCTAAATTTTATTTTATTTTAAATATCAATTAAATTTTAAAATTACACGTCAAATATGTATTTAGATATGAATTAATATAAAAAATTATTAATGTTGATAATATGTACCTAGTAATGTTAATGTGGCATATATATATAATATTTACTCCTAATATAAAATTAAAATGGCACATAATTTAAACCATCTCTAATATAATGAATGGAGTAATTTAATTTTTTTCCATTTCTATATCACTTTAATATTTATTAAATTCCATAAAACATATTAAGTATTTTGATACATTGCAATCACTTACATCACACTTATCATAGGCAAATTATTGCATCATGTCACCGAACAGAGAGGATCCGTTTGGATCCTCTCTGTCTACAGTAAAGCGCAGGTCACTGTAGCCGCTGCTACAATGACCTGCGCTTTACTGTAGACAGAGAGAACCGAACGTGTTCGGTGACTTGATGCAATAATTTGCCCTTATCATAAGGCTATATTTGCGCTAAAATAGAGAACAACATGGCAATGGTTATTTTAATAGAAATAATCATAATAATTAATGATAATGATAATAATATAATAGGGAAGTTAATATAACTTTTTTTAAGAGCATAACAGTACCTTTTTGACCCATTTAAGATTTGTTTGGGACTAATTTATTGTTGCTTTTGAAATCAATTTTTTAGTATATAAAAAAAAAATCTAAAGTTACCCCAAATGACCTAAATTTGTAGCTTTCTATTTTTAAGCTTTATATTAAAAAAAATGAGTGAAACCTATGGGTTCAATTTATTTGGGTTTATCATTGTGTTATAATATTGACATTATATTAATGTAATTAGTGAATAATTGGGGCAAACTAACAAAAACTTTCAGAGGGATGTCATTTGGATTTAGGGGTGCAAACGAGTTAAGTTGACTCACGAGTTTGCTCGAGCTCGACTCAATAACAAGCTCACTAGCCAAACTTATTGAGTTTAGAGGTCGAGCTCGAGCAGATTTATGAGCTCGTTGGGTAATTGAGCTCGAGTTCGATTGAGTCATTGCTCGACTCATTGACTTGTCGAGCGGCTCGAGTCTGGAAGAATAACTGTCAACACGGAAGTCGAAAGGGAGAACCGCGGGCGTGGAAGTGGTAGCAAAAGGCGGAATCACAAGAGTGGAAGTGGGAACAAAAGGCGGAATCACAGGCGTGGAAGCAGAATCACATTCACAAAAGCAAGCGCACAGGAGCGGAAGTGCAAGCACGAAAGTGAAAGATCAAACACGAAATCATGTGAAATTGCGGACGTGGAAGCCGAAATCTGAACCGGAAGCGAAATTGAACGTTAGCCTTACCCCTCGCAAGTGGGCTCGTGAGCTTGCATCCATCGCCACGAGCCGAGCTCAAGCAATCCATTTGAGCTCGAGTAAAGTTCGTGCTCGCAGTTTGGACGACAAGTTAAGCTCGACTTGACTTGTTCACACCCCTATTTGGAGCTTGGTTATTATGGCGCAACCAACCACAAGTTCTTGCTTTAGAGCATGCCATTTTCTCATAGTATAACATTTATAATAATATGCATCACTCATCTCAGAATATCATGCGACAAATATTTTACAAATATTATTCAAAACATCCTATGGTAAAAGCATTTATAGCACATAAAGAGTACAATCTAGTATTTTGCTAACTTATTGGTTACTCCCACAAACTAAGATAAAAAATTGGATTAAGGGTTGAGTGAGAAATCATCTCCAAAATTTGGAACCTCTTGATGTTTGAAGGTAAAAAAATGACTTATGGGCACTGGCGGAGTCAGGGTGGGGGCACTGGGGGCTTTCTGACAAATGATTTATTTTTTTAAATTAGGTAATACATTTGATATAAAAGGTTGAAATAGAATTAGGTGAATTAGCTTTATCCTAAATTCCTTTCGTTGCGGCTGTTTTTTGAGTCTCTCTTTCTATCACTTTTTTGTTCTTTTCTGAAAAAGAAATTTAAAGTTATTTGTTTTGGGTGTAGGGATGCATACCGTATTGTTAGATTTTTACTTTACAAAATATAATAAAAACATTTAAAAATCTTATACAAATGAAAAATATTATAGAATTGATTCTAGTTACATTTTATATTAATTTTTTTAATTGATAGGAAGGCTAGAGAAGAAAATTTAATAAATTATAATTATATATATTGCTGAGAAGAGGATCTCAAAGCCTACTAAAGTAAGTTATTTTTCATTTAAATGTAAGTATAATTGTTCTATTATATTCTATCAATTGCTACAACAATGATTGAACATGCATTCTCAGTCATGAAAATTATAAAGAATCGTCTGTTAGATCCAACCATTTCGTAAATTTAAAGTTTTAATTTTTATGATATAATCTAATTTCTTAAAGTTATTTGAATATGAAAATATGTTTAAAATTAGCAAAAAGAAAATGTAGAAAATGAACTTTGGGTAGTAGTTCAATTTTTTTTTTTTTAAATTGCAATACATAATTTTTTTCTAGTTATTTTACTTATTAAAATTTTAAATATAAATTTAGAATAATTTTAAAATCTTTAATTTGTGCCCGTTAATAAAAATTTCTGGCTCCGCTCCTGCTTATGGGCCACAAAGTTAGGGTTTTAGAATCACACAATCAAGATTGTGTTGCATTATTTATTGTCCTATATGTAATCCCTTTATACTACTTAAATCTTTATCAAATTGAGAATTCGCTTCATTTATTAAGATACTAAGTCCTGTGGCTCTTATTGTTGCCTAAACTCTATCCACGAGCAGTTATATTTCATCCTAATGAATGAAAGATTAAAGTCAAGAAGATCCAAATCATTTCAATGCATTTTTAGCCTTTTGATCCAAAGAAAATGGTCATTATATCATTACATAAGATATAATTGCCTCAATTTGAGGATGATTAAAGAATCATTAATAACTTGCAGATGATACTTAAGAAAATTCTTGCATGCATGTAAATCTATGTAGGAGCACATAGGGCAACGGTGTTGATTCTCTATATTTTCAGTTCTAGTCATGCGGATACAACGGCGTTGGAGTTGGGTACTGCAATGCCAGCTTCTTGGGTTTGACATGTTCAGGGGGAGCATTACGATGTTGCAGTCTGAAGCGCTACAGTGTTGGGTTTGAGTTTTTATTTTTATCATTTTTTTAATATCCTAATCCAGTACCCCATCCATACCTTAATCCATACCTTCTCAATTATTCCATTCGGTTCTTTTGTCGGGAAGGAGTAAATAGAAGAGTGGAGAGAAAGGGGAAAGGATAAAAGATAGAAGAGAGAGAAAACTACTTGATGCCATTTATGTCCATACTCTCAGTTGTGAAAATTTCTCTAATCGTGATAGGTACATCAATTTTTTATTTTTTTGATGATTTTGAGTTTTAATTTTTTTCCCCTCATAAATCTTATTAAAATGCATTATATTCTGATTTAATGAACTTTCACCGCATAACTTTTTATATATGATAAATCTGATTATTTTGTACATTTTGATATGATACATTTATCTCATCAGGATTGATGTGACATGCATGTGATATAATTCACCTAAAATAGCATTTATATTATAGCAAGTATATTGGTAGGAAATACATATTGATAACATTATGTTAAAATGATTTACATGCTAAATTATATAAGATACACATGATATATTATATGTTGCATGTAAGATATAACATGGGTGTGTGGGTTGGAGTAAGATACTCTGTATAGGTGGGTGGGCCGATGGTTCTTCCTTTAAATTATGTGTTTTAGTGTAAATCCAATATAAGATGCAAGATACAATATAGAGAGTTATAATTGGACAAGATATGGTAATGGGTAGGATCAATGACTTTTATAAGAATCATATGACAGACTGACACATGACTATGCTATGACAAGATAGAACAAGATATAAAAAAACGCCATATGATTAACTAAATGTTCTTTGATGCCCCAATATCTAAATTAGAGAATTACACATTTTTCTATCTTTTAACTTTTAAGCATCAACCAGAGCTCACAAGATGCAATATAAGTAAAAAAATATAATTATATTTCTTTTCATTGAATATTTACATATTTAACAAGTTCCAAATATATATAATTATATTTCTATTCATTGAATATTTTAATTTTACGCATCC